CCCGCGCCCCCGCCCGGCGCTCCCCCGGCGCGGCTGGAGCCCGGGGGGGGAAGGCCCCAGCCGGGGGCGCAGGGTTTGGGGGCTGCCCGGCAAACCGTGAAGCCGGTAGCGCTTGGGCAGCCCTTTCCCCGTGGCTGGGAGTGGGAGGGAGGAGGGGGCAGAGTTAGGGCGGGGAAGGGACAGAGTTGGGGTGGGGCTAGGGGTGGGGAAATGGGTGGGGCCAGGGCCCGTGGAGGGTCCTCTTTTTTTATTTATTAGATATGGTAACCCTAGGATACTGCAGCTCTCAGTGATTTCAGCTCTCAGAGGCAGAACCTTGCTACTAGTGCAGGCTGGTCTCTCTTCCACAGAAACACTGTCCCCCAGCAGATCTAAGTACTCAGACCTGATGATTATGAGTGATCTCAGCTCTAGTGATCACTTAACCAACCAAAAGGCTCTCTATGGAGCCTAATCAGCTCTGTCTTTAAACAGGGGAGAGGGGCAAGTCAAATAAGTGCCTGTGATTCTACTTGTGCCCCCACCCACTCTCTCTTCACTAGGGTATGGCATCCAAACCTCCTGTTTAGAGAGTGCACTTGAGAATGACCAGTGCTTTATTTGTAAAGAAAGAGGTGCCAAGGCTCAAGCAAGTTTGTTTCTTTTGTAACTGATCTGATAAACCCAGAGGTCCCAGAGCTATGAACTGCCAAGGCTAGCGGTGGCAAGCCTCAGCCCTGGCAAGCCCTAGCACAAATTAAGCACTGACAGAGACCCGCCCTCCTTCAGGCAGGCTAAGTACAGTTCTGCTGTCCGTTATTCATACAATAGGGATGGTAACGTTTCATGACCCTCACATTTAATTAAGATTATGTTTAACAAAAAAAAGAACGTGAACGGTACAGAGTTTAAGCGTAGAAGTTTCTGGTGATCCAGGAATAACGTACAGATTATCAAGGGGTGCAAAGTTTGGTTTAAGATTGGATGGCGTATAGATTAGACCTCGCCCACCTGCAAGGGAGGAGGGACTCGCTAACTCCCCCCTCCTCCCCCCACTGGACCTTACCCCCTGAGCCCCTAACCCACCCAACCTCACCGGCCACCGCCAACTCCGGGAGCGAGCCAGGGAAACCTCGCCCACCCACAAGGGACCTACCACCCTTCCAACCCCGCTAGGCCTGAGCCCCAAATCCGCCCACCCAACCTCGAGACC